TCACCATGTTGACCAGGATGGTCTCGATCTCTTGACCTCGTGATCCACCCGCCTCGGCCTCCCAAAGTGCTGGGATTACAGGCTTGAGCCACCGCGCCCGGCCTAATTAGTTTTTAAGAAAAAAACATTTGGAGCTTTTATCTTTGGTTTCTATTTTTTTCACTTATATTGCTATTTATAAAGTTTTGACCTGCAGCCAAGGCCTGAGAGTGATTTGCCAGTTTGAAGTTAATGTATTTAAATAGACAATTACTATTTCTTATTAGTAAGGAAAAGGAAACATTCCTATCCCCACTCCTTCCACTGTATCATATATAACTCTGCCTGTAAAATTGTACTCTTAATTTCTACTATGTTTTTTTAAACTTCATTTTCAGTATCTTTAACCATTGTATCATGTGCATATTTCTGTTGCAGCAAAAAGAATGATATAAAAATGAAGAAAACATTTATGTGTGTTTCAGATGTGGCATGAAGAAAATAAGGACTGCTGGTCAAAATTGCCTGAGTTCAGAATTTCCTGCTGGAAGGAAGGTTAGACATAACTTCTGATTTCTAGTTCCAGGAAGCATCTCTTCTTGGAAAATTTCCAAAAAAGGTAAATTACATTGAATTGTATATTTTTACTTCATTGGTTAATCTGAGAAACTTTGGAATCATTCCCTGCCAACACTGTTGTTCTTACTTGATTTTAAGGCTCCTTACAAATAGCTTTCTTGTTATAATGCGTAGGTTTTATATTTATAGGACAATACCAGAAACCTGTTATAGGTTTTTTTTTTAAACTACAATTACCTCATGCCGTAACATAGGTTTCTTCTTTCACTTAAAAAATCTTTCAGTTTAAGTTGAATTGATTTCACATATGATTTAATGCTTTGTTTCTCCTATATCTTATCTTTAATTTTTACTTTTAGAAATTGGTTTTATTCTTTATTTTATTTGAGACAGAGTCTCGCTCTGTTACCCAGGCTGGAGTACATTGGTGTGATCATGGCTCACTGTAGCCTCGACCTCCTAGGCTCAAACAATTCTCCTACCTCAGCCTCCTGAGTAGCTGGGACTAAGGTAAGTACCACCATGCCCAGCTAATTAATTTTTTTTTTTTTTGTAGAGTTGGGGGTCTCACTATCTTGCCTAGGCTAGTCTTGAACTCCTGGTCTCAAGCAATCCTCCTGCCGTGGCCTCCCAAAGTGGTGGGATTACTGGCATTTGCTACCATGCCTGGCCCAGCTTTATTCTTTGTGTTTTTGATTTTTATTTCCTGGTGAAAAATTGGGACATACAGATAAAGGAGAAAACAAAAACTGCCCAGTGGTGACAACTCTTAAAATTTTAGTGTACATCTTTTCAAAGAGAGGTCTGTCTAGTGTGCCTCACATAACATCTACTTAGGTGTACAGATGGGTCTCTCAAATGTCAGTGTTCTACTTGCTTGTAGCAGAAAGTCAGGTCTTTTCCTGTCACGATCCTCCTAAATTATTGTCAGTAGAGGTCGCTAGCTGGGAGGGGCTTCTTGCGTTGCTGCCTATAGCCCTGTAGTTTTTTCACTTTAGAGTCTCCTGCCCTTGCCTTCCTTCTGCATCACTGACAGTGTTGTGTTGCTGCTGCCTGGCTGAACCACGCTAATGTCCTTTAAATGGCTAGTGTCCCCACAACACATGACCACACCTGCCTATGGTGCAACTGAATTCCTGTTGGTCTTTTCCCTCTCTGGCCGTCAGGGAAAACTTTTTTTTTTTTTTTTATAGACAACTTTTTGAGAAGGATTTCGATAGCAGAACAACTGGGGCCCTGATGACAGAGTTATCTTCTGTTTTACAGCCAGTTTCTTCCCAGAATTTATAGGCCGTTTGAGGTGGATGAGTGCCTGGATATTGGAGAGGGGAGGTGTTAGGGGGCCAGAGAATGGAGAAGCACAGTCTTTCGCAGTTCCCGGCATCCCTGTGGAGGTGGCCAGGACTGGTGGATTTATTTTTCCTTAAGAAGGGACTGACATCTTGTCTAATATGAGTGTAAACTTTTCAAGGGGAATTTCTGGCACTTAGTACAGTGTGTGGTACAGAGTAGGCCTCCATAATTATTTGTTGCATGTGTAAAGAAGTAAGTACCTTGAACAAATCAGAAAAGTATGATACGTTTCACTAAGTTGCTTTTTCTCTGATATATGGTTTTAAACAAATATAGTCATAATTGGTATAGTCTAGTTTGAGAGATAAGAAATACAAATGGAGGGTGAGGCAGAAAAAAATACAAATAGAGATCAGCTGAGAAGTGAAAATAAGTGCTGTGGGAACTCTGAGGATGGAAAGCTTGCTGGAATGGCTCACCCTTGTCTCCTTTGTAAAGCTGATTTTCATTGAGGTTGGGAATGGTTCAGACAGGTGAGGCAGAGGAGCGAGAGAATGGGGGCTTGCCAGATCCAACACAAAGTGGAGCAAAGCGTTGACACAGCTGAGCTATTCTGAGATACTCTGTACCATGATTTTGTACCCCTTCTGCCTTTATTTCTATGTCCTTCCCTCCATGGAAAGCCTCTCTGGGGACAGAATACTAGGACATTTTCTGTTTACTTATCTCAAAATAGCAAGTGGAAAGAGCATTTGAAGTTGTTGCATGAGAGAACACTTAGGCGTGGCTGACTCTGAAGTCCTCTGCTTCTAGCAGATATGATGAAGGATTTTGGGATCCTGTTACTCATTTTTCAAGGTTGATTTTTCTACCCTCAATCTTCCAGGCAGATGTGTGTCCTCCTGTGCCTTATTACTTAGCTGAGGGAGCATCAGGACCACATATGTGGTGGGAGAGCGCTGGAAACCCAAAGAGTGTGTCCTATCTCCTACCATACTTAGGAGTGGCACTCCTTGTTTTCCAGAGAATGTCAGGATGCTTTGCACTGTATCCCAGAGCTCTTCATGAAAACACAGTTTCCTCTTCATATTCTTTAAATGTAATTAATATAGCATTGTTATATAACTTAAACTAAAGGGGAAGGGAAGTGATTTTACTCACTGAGATCTCTGTAGAAATTTAACAGTTACTTTTATTTCACAATTCTGAATTTGAAGACATACTTCCTTGATTCTTAACAGTTAAAACCTAAATAGGCAATAGGGAAAATTTTATTGTATTTACGCAGAAGCCTGCACTGGGAAAGGAGACCTTGAGGAGATTGTCTGGAAATGAGAAGACATTACTATGCTCTGGCTCTTTGCTTTCTCTTTGTGACTTTGGGCCTTAGATAAGGTTAAGGAAGAGGAAATGTGATGTTTTTGCTCTCACCCCACTCTAGGCCATTGCAGTTGGTGATGTTCTCTCATCTCCTCTCTTTGAAGGAGTTCTTTGAAGAAAAATGTGCTGCTTGAATCAACTGCAGTCTCTCCACTGCATAAGAACTCTTAAGGGTACTAGCAGAATAGAAGCAAATGAAACTGAAAGCTCATCTGCAGCCCAGAAAAACAAAAACATGGAATTTTAAAGAGTGAAGGTAGCCTGGTGTCGGCCATGGGTGATCAAGATACAGCCAGACAATGTGGACCAATTTCTTCAAACTACGGCTTTTCTGCTGTCTGCTTGCAGTGTTGATGGTGGTGGTGCTGGTTGTCAATGTTACTCAGGTAGAGGTGAGTACCCAGTATAATCTCTCATAACTAAGCCAGCCCTGTCTGGGGATTTGGGCCTAACCAGCCTGGGAAAATATTGGTTATCGGAAGCTTATCCTAGTTACAGTTCTTGTTTTCATTTATTCAATAAGTATTTTAGTGCCTACAATGGTTATATACTGGGCTAGTCACTGAGGGTACAGTGAAGACATTTCTTCGCTTACGGGCCTTTGATTCTAGAACTCACACTTTAAGTGTGCATGGAAGAAAATAATAAGTAATAATCACATAATAATCATAATGATGGCTGGGTGCGGTGGCTCACGCCTGTAATCCCAGCACTTTGGGAGGCTGAGGTGGGTGGATCATGAGGTCAAGAGATCAAGACCATCCTGGCCAACATGGTGAAAACCCGTCTCTACTAAAAATACAAAAATTAGTTGGGCATGGTGGCGCATGTTTGTAGTCCCAGCTACTCAGGAGGCTTAAACAATTCTCTTGTTTAAGCAAGAGAATTGCTTAAACCCAGGAGGCAGAGGTTGTGTTGAGCCTAGATTGCGCCATTGCACTCCAGCCTGGGTGACAGAGTGAGTTTCTGTCTTAAAAAAAAAAATAGTAATGATAATTGGAGATTGTGAAAAGTACAATAAGGAAAGGGAGCTATTCTAGGATAGCTTTAGAGTGATGAAGGAAAAGCCTCTTCAAGGAGGGGACCTTTTAGTCGGCACATGGAAAAAAGCTGAAGGAGTATTTCAAGGGAGGGAGTAGATGGATCTGTTTTGAAGATTACTAGATGGCACTCAGGGGTGGGGACCATGTCTTACTGAATCCCTCACAAGGGCCTGGCACTGAGAAGGGTCTTAGTAGTGTTCCTTCTTCCTTGCCCCCAGCCCCAACATGAACTCATATAACCAAAACTTATGGAGGAGTTCTGGATAAAAGGATGCTGTCCTTTTGTTTTGTTGGCTTGTGGTACTTCTCAGATTACATAACCAACTTAATTATGGCATTTCTTTTCTTATTAGAGGTAGCATAAGATTCTCTAAAAGCTAAGCCATAGGCTTTAGGCTTTTAAAAACATTTCTCCTGCTGGAACCAACTTTGTGGTTTTTAGGAGAACACCTGATCTCACTATGAAATGGGCACACTAAGGTCCTACAGATCTTTTTATGTGTGCAATGAGTAAAACTTGTTAGGTACTCTGGAGAATGTGAAGTAATTCTGTTAAATATTTCTTATTAGAAATAGCTTAAGGCATAAAAGGTAGGTATTACTTCCTGTTTTTCTTTGCTTAAACTGTTCTTGCATGTTTTACTATATAAGATACTACCAATTCTACACCAGTAGTTCCTTTTACCTGGTAGCTGTGGATTATGTGTCTAGGTATTTTAGAAACTCCTCTTTTTAAAAGAAATTTTTTTGTGGTAAATATATATAAAATAGAATTTGTCATTTTAACCACTTTTAAGTGTACAATTGAGTGGCATTAAGTACATTCATATTGTTGTGCAACCACCACCACCATCTATGTCTAGAACTTTTTCATCTTCCCAAACTGCAACTCTTTACCCATTAAACAGTGATTACCTAGGCCAGGTGCAGTGGCTCATGCCTGTAATACCAGCACTTTGGGAGGCTGAGGCAGGAGGAACACTTTAGGTCAGGAGTTCGAGACCAACCTGGTCAACGTGGTGAAAGCCTATCTCTACTAAAAATACAAAAATTAGCTGAGCCTGGTGGTGCACGCCTGTAATCCCAGCTGTTCGGGAAGCTGAAGCATGAGAATTGCTTGGACCTGGGAGGCAGAGGTTGCTGTGAGCCGAGATTGAACCACTACACTCCAGCTTGGGTGACAGACAGAGACTGTCTCAAAACAAAAACAAAAACAAAAAAACCCAAAAACCCAGTGACAACAAAAAACAATGATAACCCATTCCTCCGTACCCCCTGCTCCTTGGCATACACTCTTCTTTCTGTCTCTATGAACTCGACAACTCTAAGTACCTCATATAAGTGGAATCATATGGTATTTTTTTTTTTTTTTTTTTTTAAGACATAGTCTCGCTCTGTTGCCCAGGCTGGAGTACAGTGGCATGATCTTGGCTCACTGCCACCTCTGCCTCCTGGGTTCAAGTGATTCTCATTGCCTCAGCCTTCCAAGTAGCTGGGATTAAAGGCATGTGCCACCACGCCCAGCTAATTTTTGTATTTTTAATAGAGACAGGGTTTTGCCACATTGGCCAGGCTGGTCTTGAACTCCTGACCTCAGGTGATCCACTCGCCTTGGCCTTCCAAAGTGCTGAGAATATAGGCGTGAGCCACCATGCCCAGCTCAGTAGCATTAAGTCTTATTTACATTGTCTTGAAATAGATCTCCAAAACCCCTTTTATCCTTTTAATATCTGTAGAATTGTGTTTTATCTTATTACTCCTGATCAGTCTGACCAGAGGTTTGTGTTTTATTGATCTTTTTGAAGAACCAGCTTTTGGTTTCATTATTTTTCTGTTTCCTGTTGGGTCAGTTTCCATTTTGATCTTTACTGTTTCCCTTCTTCTGTTTCCTTTGGATTTAATTGTCTCTTTCTAGTTTCTTAATGTGGTAGCTTTAGTCGTTGTTTTGAGATCTTTCTTTTCTAATTAAATGTTTAATGCTATAAATTTTCTTTTACAGGACTGGGTATGGTAGCTTATGCTTGTAATCCCAGCACTTTGGGAGAGTGAGGTGGGAGGATCACTTGAGGCCAGAAGTTTGAGACCATCCTGGGCAACATAGTGAGACCCCCATCTCTACAAAAATTTTTTAAAAATTAGCTGGGTGTAATGGTGTGTGCCTGTAATCCTAGCTACTTGGGAAGCTGACACAGGATAATCCCTTGAGCCCAGTTTAAGATTATGGTTAGCTATGATCATGTCACTGCACTTCAGCTTGGGCAACAGAGTGAGACCCTGTCTCTAAAAAAATAATAAAAAAATTTATTTCTATATACTGCTCTAGTGTATACCACACATTTAGATATGATTTGTTTTCATTTTCATTTTCATTCAGCTGAACTACATTCTAATTTTCCTTTTTCTTTTCTTTAACCCATGTGTTATTTAAGTGTTTTTTTTTTTTTTTGAGATGAGTTTCACTCTGTCACCCAGGCTGGAGTGCAGTGGCATGCTCCTGGCTCACTGCAGCTACAACCCTTGGGCTCAAGTAATCTTCCCACCTCACCCTCCCAAGTAACTGGGACTACAGGTGTCTGACACCATACCCAGCTAATTTTTTATGTTTTTGCAGAGATGGGGTCTCACTCTGTTTTCCAGGCTTGTCTCAAACTTCTAGACTCAAGCGATCCTCCTGCCTAAGCCTCCCAAAGTGCTGCAATTACAGGTGTGAGCTACTGTATCCAGCCCCATATTTAGAAGCGTTATTTAACTTTCAAATATTTGGATATTTTGCAAATACCTTTCTGTTATTGATTCCTGATTTAGTTCCCCTGAGAACATACTTTGTATGACTTGAATTCTTTTAAAACATTATCGAGATTTGTTTATAGCACAGAATATGTTCTATTTTGGTATATAGTCTATGTGTACTGGAAAGGAATGCATTCTGCTCTTACTGCATGGAGTATTCTATAAATGTCAGTTAGATCCACATGGTTCATGGTGTTGGTCGTCTTCTGTATATCCTTACTATTTTCTGCTCTATCAGTTATTGAAAGGAGAATATTGAAATCTCTGACTATAATTGTGAATTTGTCTATTTCACCTGGCATTTCTGTCAGTTTTCACTTCATGTGTTGTGAAGTTCTGTTCTTAGGTACTTAATGTTTAGAATTGTTGTGCCTTCTTGATGAATTCAGTTGCTTTATCATCACAAATTGGCCTTCTTCATCCTTGGTAAAATTCTTTGCTCTGAAATTTACTATATATGGTATTATATAACCACTCTAGCTTTCCTTCCTTTGCTGTTAGCAAGTACATCTTTTTCCATCCTTTTGGTATTATTTTTTATTATTTTTGAGACAGGGTCATGCTCTGTTGCCCAGGCTGGAATGCAGTGGCACAATCACGACTCACCACAGCCTTTGTCTCCCATGCTCAAGCAGTCCTTCCCACTCAGCCCTTCCCACTCAGCCTCCTGAGTAGCTGGGACTACAGGCGTGTTCCACCATGCTTGGCTAATTTTGTGTATTTTCTTTTTAGATATGGGTTTTGCCATGTTGCCCAGGCTGGTCTTGAACTCCTGGGCTCAAGTGATCTGGCTGCCTTAGCCTTCTAAAGTGCTTGGATTACAGGTTGAGTCACCACATCCAGCCAGTTTACTATTTTTTAAACCTATTTGTGTTTTTATATTTATTTATTTATTGAATTGTATTTTTAAAAAATTTTAATTTAGGTTTGAGGGTACATGTGAAGGTTTGTTACATAGGAAGCATATGTCACGGGTTTGTGTACATATTATTTCATAACCCAGGTATTAAGCCCAGTACCCTCTCTGCTCCTCTCCCTCCCCCCACTCTTTCCCATCAAGTAAACCCCTGTTGTTTCTTTCTTTGTGTTCATAAGTTCTTATTGTTTAGTTCCCAGTTATAAGTGAGAACATGCAGTATTTGGTTTTCTGTTCCTGTGTTAGTTTGCTAAGGATAATAGCCTCCAACTCCATCCATGTTCCCACAAAAAAACATGATCTTGTTCTTTCTTATGGCTGTATAGTAATCCATGCTATATATGTAATATAAGATTTTCTTATATTTCATATGGAATATAATATTTTCATTATCCAATCTGTTATTGATAGGCATTTAGGTTGATTACATGTCTTTGCCATTGTGAATAGTGCTGCAGTGAACATTCATATACATACGTCTTTACGGTGGAATGATTTATATTCCACTGGGTATATACCCAGTAATAAGATTGCTGGGTAGAACAGTAGTTCTGTTTTTAGGTCTTTGAGGAAATGCCATACTGCTTTCCACAATGATTGAACTAATTTACACTCCCACCAACTGTGTGTATGTGTTCCCTTT